CGCAGCACGTACAGCTGCTACTACATGTTTATGATTGGTCTTTTTCGTGCCTGCGGCATTTGTCCAAGGAATCCAAGGTCTGGCGGCGACGGGGGCGGGGGGAATGGCAACGATATGTTTTCTCATCAGCTACGGCTGCTCGGACTCGCCGGCGGCCCTCTTCTGGACTTCAGGCTGTCGAAACAAAAGCGTCGGTTGCATCGGCGGCCGATTTGCTTCAGGAATCCAAGGCGTCGCGGCCACAAAAACAAGGAGGGCGGTAACGATGTGTATGTTTTCATAAAGCACGGCTGCTTTATTGATCGCGCGGGTCTCATTCGGGTCTCTGGCGGGTCTCTGGCGGTCGGGACGCACGCGTCGGTTGCGGCACTGGCCCTTTTGCCGAAGGAATCCAAGGTGTCGCGGCCAGGAAAACAAGGAGGGCGGTAACAATGTGTTTTTTCATCAACGACGGCTGCTTCGTTGAGCTCTGTGGCTCTCGTTCGGGTCTCTGGCGGTCGGGATGCACGCGTCGGTTGCGGCAGTGGCCCTTTTGCCGAAGGAATCCAAGGTGTCGCGGCCAGGAAAACAAGGAGAGCGGTAACAATGTGTTTTTTCATCAACTACGGCTGCTTTATTGAGCTCGCGGCTCTCTTTCGGGTCTCTGGCGGTCGGGATGCACGCGTCGGTTGCGGCAGTGGCCCTTTTGCCGAAGGAAATCCAGGTCCCGCGGGGACGGCGGTAAGAATAACGACAACGATGTGTTTTTTCATCAAGCACGGCTGATTTATGGAGCTCGTGGCTCTCGTTCGGGTCTCTGGCGGTCGAGATGCACCTCGTTGGCGTGCCAGTACGCCCACTGGGCCGATCGGATGCTGGCGAGGAAGCGGAGGGGGGCGAGGAGGGCGAGGAGGAGGAGGAGGAGGAGGAGGAGGACGACGACGACGACGACGACGATGACGATGACGAGGGCGAGGTGGAGGTGAGGGCGGTGGAGGAGGTGGACGACGAGGAGGGTGCGGAAGGCATTCTTCATGGCCTTCGCTCTCTCACACAGCCCCGACGACGCCGATTACGATCGAGATGTCGTCGGGCTTGGGCGCGCCGCGCATCTGCGCACACTCGATCATCTGCTCGGCCGCGGCCTGCGCGTCGGAATCTGCGCGCGTGAGCACGAACTTCATGGCATCGTACGGGACGTTGTCAGTGATGCCGTCGGAACAGCATATAATGATGTCGCCCTTGCTCAATTGGACAACGCCGTAGTCGGCCTGCGCCACGGAGCGCTCCAAGTCGTCGCCCGCCCTGTTCACGCCAGGGAAAAACGAAACCTGCTTCGGGCCCATCACCTCGCCTGACTCCGTGGCGATGCGGACGTGGTGGTCTCTGGTGATGAAGCAGCGCGTGTAGCTTCCCGTGAGGGCCGACCTGCGCCACACCTGGATGGATACGTCCCCAATGTGGCAGTAGGACATCTTGGTGCCGGCCACCGAAAAGAACCCGACCGTGGTGGAGCCGTGCAGCGTAGTGGTCTGGATGGCGAGATGCAGGAGCCTCGCAGTTTTATGTTGTTGCGGCTTGTGATTACTTTGTTGTTGTGTTTGGTGTGTGCGTGCGTTGCTGGTTTGGTTTGCAGGTGGCCTCTGGCGGTCGAGACGCACGCGTCGGCTGCGGCAGTTGCTTTTTTGTCGAAGGAATCCAGAGTCTTTCGGCCAGAAAAACACGGAGGGCGGTAACGATATGTTTTTTCATCAATCACGGCTGCTTCATTGAGCTCGTGGCTCTCGTTCGGGTCCCTGGCGGTCGGGATGCGCGCGTCGGTTGCGGCAGTGGCCTTTCTGCCGAAGGAATCCAGGGTCTCGCGACCTGAAGAACATGGAGAGCGGTGACGATGTGTTTTTTCATCAACTACGGCTGCTTTATTGAGATCGTGGCTCTCGTTCGGGTCTCTGGCGGTCGAGATGCACGCGTCGGCTGCGGCTGTGGCCGTTTTGCCGAAGGAATCCAAGGCGTCGCGGCCAGGAAAACAAGGAGGGCGGTAACGATGTGTTTTTTCATCAAGCACGGCTGCTTCATTGAGCTCGTGGCTCTCGTTCGGGTCTCTGGCGGTCGAGATGCACGCGTCGGTTGCGGCAGTGGTCCGTTTTGCCGAAGGAATCCAAGGTGTCGCGGCCAGGAAAACAAGGGGGGCGGTAACGATATGTTTTTTTCATCAAGCACGGCTGCTTCATTGAGCTCGTGGCTCTCGTTCGGGTCTCTGGCGGTCGAGATGCACGCGTCGGTTGCGGCAGTGGTCCGTTTTGCCGAAGGAATCCAAGGTGTCGCGGCCAGGAAAACAAGGAGGGCGGTAACGATGTGTTTTGTCATCAACTACGGCTGCTTTATGGAGCTCGTGGCTCTCGTTCGGGTCTCTGGCGGTCGGGATGCACGCGTCGGTTGCGGCAGTGGCCGTTTTGCCGAAAGAATCCAAGGTGTCGCGGCCAGGAAAACAGGGAGGGCGGTAACGACTTGTTTTTCATCAAGCACGGCTGCTGTTGTGAGCTTGTGGCTTTCTGTCATGCTTGTTGTTTAATGTCGGCGTGTGCGTGTGCTATTATGTTTGTCTGCAGGAGCCTCGCTGCCCACGCCGCAGGAGCGTCCGTGGCCATGCTCCGCACGTCCCCGCCGATCTCGCGGACCACCTGGGCGTCGAACTCCTGCTTGTCACAGGCCCAGTGGAACCGCTCGCGGAGTAAGAAGCGGAGGCAGTTCCGGAGGTCCCAGGAAAGGTCCTCCGGGTTGAAGCGGGGCGCGACGCCGCTTACCCCGTCGCACGCCACGCCCCACTGCTCCGCCGCCGCCGTCATGTCGGCGTTGGGCTTGTTGAGGAAGGGGTGTTGCGCTTTGGCGGCGCACCAGGAGGCGAGGCGGAGCATCATCGGCATTGCTGCCGCGCGGGCGCGTGGAAGCTGCGCCGCGAGTTCTGCGTCGAGGCAGGCTCGGGCCAGAATGCGTTGCAACAAACAAAAGGAGTTGGTGTGGATGAGGAAGGAGGGGCGAGAAGGCGGGAGCGATGGAGACTGGAGGATAATAAGAGGGGGCGGGGGAGGACAGAGGGACGAACCGCGGAAGTGGAGGAGGACCAAGATAAGGATCAAACAGTATTGCTGCGCTCCCCTGGAGCATTTCGTCTCTCGTTGGCCTGGAATTGTTTTGCCTCCGACTGGTGTGAGCTTTACGCCCCCTGGAGCATTTCGCCCCGTATCTGGCTGGAGCATCTCGCCCCCGCGTGATCTGGAGCATTTCGCCCCCACGTGATCTGGAGCATTACGCCCCTTGGAGCATTTCGCCCCGTATCTGGCTGGAGCATTTCGCCCCTACGTGATTTGGAGCATTCCGCCCCCTGGAGCATTTCGCCCCGCATCTGGCTGGAGCATTTCGCCCCAAGGTGATCTGGAGCGTTACGCCCCTTCTTCTCTTCCGTCAGCTGTAGTTCGGGGGCGCTGGTAACTTCAAATACCCCGTGCAATAGATGGTTTTCACTTGTGCTCCATTATTCGCCACGGGCAAACGACGCAAGTGGGAACGATGAGGAGGGGGGACAACGGAGGGGAAGTAAGAAAATGATGAAGAAGGGAAGATGAGGAGGAGGGGATGACTGGAACAGGGCACGGGAAAGGTAGATCTTGGGAGGGGGTGTGAGCATATATATATATATATATATATATATGTGTGTATATACATATGTGTGTATCCTCGACCCCGCTCTATTTCCAGGCCAGCATCTCGACAGTGTCTGTTCGCAAACGTTGTCCAGCCAGAGTGCACCATCCATCCGCGTCGAGCACAGGCCAGGACAAAACAACAGCGACCTCCTGCGACAGACGGAGCATCTCTTTACAAGGCTCAAGGGTGGGTGGGCAGGGTTGAGCCCAAAAGCCCACGGAAGCGATCTAACATCGACGGCCTGGACTCGTGACGAGATGAGGAAAGACATACACGCATGGGATATCCTCGACCCCGCTCTATATCCAGGCCAGCATCTCGAAAGTGTCTGTTCGCAAACGTTGTCCAGCCAGCGTGCACCATCCATCCGCGTCGAGCACAGACGCGGGAGGCCAGGACAAAACAACAGCGACCTCGAAACATCTCTCCGAAGATCTAACTGGCCCTAGGCCGCCAATCGCACCAAGGCTTGGTGCGTGGATGACAATCTAGCTTCACGATAGGCTCTGGCAAGGGCACTGGACAAGCTGGGCGGGTATGGCTCGGCAATCTTGGCTCAGAAAGCTCCGGAAGGCGTCTTGCCTTCCAGAGCTCGGCGTGGACGGTGCGTGAAAGAACAAAGGCCACGCCCTGTGCACTCGCAAGAGCTGGTCGAGTCAAAGCTGAGATGAGCATATATCACACGGGTTCTCTTCCTCCAAGCTGTGCCGAAGGCGCGGAAATCCAACTCCACAGTCTTAACCCCTGGCTGGCGCGCAGCATGCTGGGCCCAGCGGGTCTGCCAGACCCGCGAGGTGGAAGGGTTCTCGATTGCTGCGGGGACTCCGCGCCTGGCACAATCCAAAAAGAGACTGAAAGAGAACTGCGATAACCTGTCACCCGCCTCGATTTTGAAGGAGTCAGCCGACGACAGGTGGGGCAGGGCAAGCAGGTGGGCGGCGCCCCGCAAGGGTGGTGGCCCGTTGGGACGATTCCGCGCCCCGGACCACGAGCTGCAGGGCATCCCAAGCCAGACGCCCTGCAGCAGGCCACCACGGAGCCACCCGCGCACCGCGCGCTGGGCTCGCCGTCGGCTGAGGTCACCGAGGGTGGGCTCATGGTCCACGTCCAGCTCGAAGACCCGCGGCGCTAAGCGAGAAGTCATGCTCCGCCGCAGCGCCCGGGACCAGTTCCCGGACCCCTGAAGACCTCCAGGTGCACTTTCGAGTCGGTCAGGTGGGCCCAGGAGCTCAGATTCTGCATAGGGTGCCTCCAATGGTCACGACGCAACCGTGGGCCAGAGACTGTAGGACGGGCTGCAGACGCCACAGCACCACTTGAACTTGACCGACCCTCGCGTACTGCAGGAGGCTCCTGACGACCTCCCAATGCCTGCGCTTCTTGATGTTGCCGAACGTCCAGGTGTTCGTCGGACACTCGGGGCTGACCCCCCCGTGGCGCAGCTGATGCGGCATTGGGGGGCCGAGGACGCCCAGTCCGAGGGCGGCGCTCGCCTGCAGGAGCGCCCGCACCCAGGACCTCATGTCCACGTAGAACGGGAGCGCGTCGACCGCGCGTCTTCCCACGAGGCAGTCCAGCAGCTGGTCGACCCCGCTGAACTCTGGGTTGTCCACCTGGAGACTGGTGTCGCAGCCCAAGGCCTTCGACATCGCCCTGAGCTCCGCGGGGAACCGCAGGATCGAGTACATGCCCAGATGTTGTGAAATCGCCACCGACAGGCGCACCTTCGTCGACCAAGTCAGGAAAGCTCGGCATCGGATCTGGCAGCTCCAGACGGCCCTGTCCTTCACGGCCCTCAGCTCGAGGAACGACCGCTGGAGCTGATCCCGCCAGCCCCCGCCACGGGGCTGCCTCGCCCGGCGGCGGCTCGCCCGCCCCGGGCGGTCCAGCGACTCGGCTGCCCGCTCCCAAAGCCCCGCCGGGCTCGCGGCTGCCGCCGCGGGGGCTCGCCCAGACAGAAGGCCAGCAAGCCTCCTCTTCGAGGCCGGGCGGGGGCCCGATGTCAGCCCAGCTCTCGCCAGCGGGCCCTCCGTGCCCGCTCGCAGGGCTGGGGTGGCCAGCGGCAGCGCCGAGGCAGCAGGGGTCGGCCGCCGCGGCCGCGTAGCCCACGCCCGGCAGGTTCCTGGAGGCGCGGTCAGCCGAGTTCCTCTCCGAGGGGACCCGGCGCCAGAAGAATGCAGCGCCGCTAGCCAGCGAAAGGGGCGCCAGCTGCCGGCGCGCGCGGCCCATCTCCCGCCGCGACGAACGTCCTTTGGTGGCGGCCAGGGTGGCTCCCAAACAGTCGCCCAAGCAGAGATGGCATCGGTTGAATGATGAGATACGTCGAAGGACATGACGGACGGCCACGACCATGCCGCGGGCCTCCAAGACAACCTGATGCTCTGAACGACTCCAGCGATGAGACACCACGGGGACCCAGCCTTTCGCCCAGACGTCGTATTGGATTTCGGGGAACTCCTCCTCCTCCTCGATGTCATTGACCATCTCCTCCTCCGTGTGCACCCCCTTCATCGCGGACTCCTTGACGGGCTCTTCTACGGGCGCCTCCAGGGGCCCCTTGATCGGGGCCTTCGGGTTCCCGGAGCAGTCGATTGTGAATACCGACTCTGGGGTGAAGGGGTCGGCGGAGGTCGCCGACTTGAAGGCGTGGGACCGATGCGACACCTCGGACTCCTGATGAGCACTGAATCTCCATCTCTCATTTTACTCGGAGAGCTCACGGGCGACTGGGGCAGACGACTTTTTCTGAGTGACTCCGACTCCCCACCACGATGAGTCAACCATCGTGAGCGTGCTGTCGAAAGGGGCGCTAGCGTCCCGGAAACAGAACACGACCAGGCTGGCGCACCAACGAAGCTCGCGGAGGCAAGAGGGCCACAGCCGCGCCGCGCGGCCTCCATACTGGGCAGAAAAAGCGCACAGCGAGTTGAGAGCGGCCAAAAGCTCTCGGCGAATCAACCCCGCGAGGTGGAATGGGACACCACGCGCGAGATCGTCTTGCCCGAGGCATATCCCCTCCGACACAGCTCCAGGAAGGCCAACCGCAGCTTCCAGCGGAGCGCTGGGTTCAGCCCGATGATCGGGAACTTCTCGTCGAACTGCCAGCCCGGTGCCACGGCGCCAAAGCTGCTCTCGACTCCGTGAGTAGGGGGGCCCGCTGCACGATGGTTCGAGTCCACGGCCGACGCAGCGGCGATCGCCGTCTCCAAGTCCGTAGAGAGGCTGATCGCACTGCCCACGTACTCGGCATGCATCATACCCTCGGACACCAGCGGCACAGGTCGGCGGTCCACGAAGCGGTTCGCGAGGGAGAGCTGGGGCACCAACAGAGCCATCCCCTCCAGCATCGTCTGGCAGATCCAGAGCCTGAAGGGGCAGCCCATCGGGGGGCACCTGAAGCACGGGTACACCAGGTCGGTTCCCGCCAGGCGCCGCCCGTCCGCGGTGCTCTCGAGGCCCAGCAGCCCAGCGCGACAGCCAGGTAGCGCGAAGTACCTCCTGAACTTCGGCGGCAACAGCATCGTGTAGAACGCGTCCGCCAGGTCGACATCCGCCACCGCAATGGGCTTGCCCCCGTCCACGTGGAGGCCGGCGAAGGTCGCACCCGACGCTAGAGCGACCTTGTCGGGGACCTGGAAGTGCAGAGATGCGTGCCTGCCGTCCAGGATGAGCCGCAGCTTCCCCGACTTCTTGTAAACGAAGAAGACACCTACGTTGCAGCGCTTGTCCTTGTAGAAGTCGAGAAGATTCCGACGCTCGAGGATCCGCAGCAGCTGGACATACAGCTTGGGGCCCCTCAACGCCGGGTCGGTGTCGAGCTTTCGGGGGCCCTCAGACTCGATCCGAGCGCGACCCTCAGACTGGGGCAACATCATGCCATGAAGCCGCTCGACTATCTTTCGGCCAGCATCCCCTCCCAGCGCGTCAAGCGGCACAGGCTTGAAACCCTCGTATGGAAGCGAGAGACTATTGATATTATCAAAGTCGAGCGGAGCGACTGTGGCGCTCTCGCCAGCGTAGTCGCTGAGAACTCGGAGCTCCTCAAGGGCTCCTGAGCCAGTCAATCCCTCTGGGGGCGCGCCGAACCGTCGGACTGTGTCTCGAATGTTGTCCAGGGCCTGCCGCTGGCCCGCAGTGATGGACTGAGGGTGGCTGACGGGGTGCCAGGGCTGGCCAAGGTACAGCTCGTTGAGGGTCCGAACGATCTCGCCCTCCATCGAGTTGGCGTGGCCCTTGCGGAGAACCCGACGCGCCACCGAACGTGAACAAGCGATGCCCTGCGCCTCCTAAGTTGCCCGATGCTGTTGACAGGGCCCTGGCAGTGGAAATAGATCACGCTGTCGCCCAGCACGATCGCCCAACGAGTACAAGTCACCAGCAAGCGGCGGGCCACCGCCGCTGGGACCCCCTCCGAAAACGCGTGCACCGCCGGGAGGAAGCGGCACACGTGGTCGTGGGTCCGTCATGACTGCAAGGCCCGCGGCTCCTCGCGGGCCTAGCGAACTCGCTTCCGCACCGAAGCGTCCATCTCCACCTCCTTCGCCACGTGCTCGAGGAGCAAGGGGCAGATCATGCTCTCCCCAGGGCCTCGATGGAGACCTGTGAAGGCGGCGTCATCGTTGGTGAACCCGAAGCTCAGCAGGACCTGGCGCCCACCGCCATGTCCACGGCCTCGGACCTTTTTCTTGTCGTTCCCCTCGTCGCCTCCGTCTCCGACAGGGAGCGCGCTGAGGTGAGAGTCTCGGTCCACGTCGTACACGCACTCATACGTCAAGCACGTCCTGAACATCTGCTCTACATCCGTCGGGTTCGGCGCGTCGAGGCCGCCCCGGGAGGAGAGGGTGTAGATGGCCCGCGCGTTGGCCTCGTAGTCGCCGCCTCCGTAGTCCTCGGTCGACAGCCCAGGGGCGAGCCTCCAGAACCTGAGGCGGTCGAGCGGACCGCCCTGGCGTCGGTCTATGAACTGACAGCACCGGAGACACATGCGGGGGCCAGGACAGTGCCTGTCCACGAACGACTCCACTGTGAAGTAGGCCACAGTACCGCGCCACTGCTTCGAGAGCCTGCCGATCAGAGCCGCTGGGTTCGCGACGATGCTCCACATCAGCCTGGCGTGGGAAGTGGCCTCCCTTCCCGCGTAGATCTGCGCGGGCTCGGAGATCGAGCGGATGGCCACCCACGTCCCATCAGCCAGCGGCATCAAGCTGGCGGCCCCGCGGGGGTGCGAGCCAGCGGGCGGGGCCACAACTGCACCGCGCTGGCCCGCCGAGGTCGACTCGATCAGCACCCGCACCGCCGCTCCACTCGCAGGGGCCGCAGCCCCCGGACCAGCCGCGGCTGCGCCGCCCGGGGCCGCTCCGCCAGCGGGGCGAGGCACGGCCAGGGCGCCAGCGGGCCACACCGCTGGGGCGGCCAGCGCAGCGGCCGTGGGGGCCGCGGCGCCTTCGGCGGCAAGCCCAGCGCCCGCGCCAGGCCCAACGCTCCCTGCGGGACCGAAGGTCAGCGGGGCGGCGAACGGCCCGCCCGGCACAGGCAGCCACAGGCGCAGGCGGTCGGCGATCAGGGCGGCGGTGCCGTAGTCCAGCGCAGTCTGGTCGATCTGCTGCATCTGCGCCACCGTGCGGTTCCATCCGAATCTGTACGAGTTGACGGCACCGACGCCAGGAGGAAGAGCAACACGGTCTGAAGTGAACCTCGCCGCAGCGATGTCCCTCCCCTGGCGCGAGCAACCTTCCTCATAAATGTCATTGACCACCGCACAAATGAACACCATCCACTCGGAGACTCTCTCTAGTCGGGTCCACCCCCGTCGCCCTGGAACAGACGCTGGTGCCACATTTGCTCTCCTTCGTAGTGCGCAGCCGCTCCCTGGAGCATCCCATGAGGTGCGGCTCCACCTGGTCCCACGTTTTGCACGGCCAGCCCTGCGGCGGCAGCACATCAGCCCGACACGGTTCCACGACAGAGCGCCGTAGGCCAGCGCCAGGACCAGCAGGAGAGCCTCGATCACCAGCACCACAGACCAGACGGAGGAAGGCTGTCTCGACTCGCTGCTGCCCCCGCCGTTCGCCGAAGGCGTGGCGGGAGCGGGGGAGCCCCCGGGACACGTCGGACAGCCAGGGCAAGGCGGGCACACACAGCTCGGTATGGCAGGGCAAGAAGGGACGTGGACTGGTGGGCACCTCTGCAGGTTGCTGCCCAGGAGATAGGCGAAAGCTCCCTGCCAAAGGTACTGGGCGGCAGGGAGCCAGCAATCCATACGCACTGCCTTGGTGCAAATTCTTGAGCCCAAAAACCCACGGAAGCGATCTAACATCGACGGCCTGGACTCGTGACGGGATGAGGAAAGACAATATATGTGTGTATGTGTGTATCTATTTGATACACATGTATATTTCGATGTTGGCGTGCACATACACCTGCATCTAAAAACACATACATCAATACCTACGCCTACACATACACGTAGACGTACGCACATACAAAAACAGCGGCATGCGCATCGACAAACGATATCCATAAGCAGATCCATAAACATGCACAAACACATGCACATCAATACACTCATACACATTAATGTACATATACGCATTCACATTCACGTACAAACGCATGCATATATACACATGCCCATACATAGACATCTCCGCCACCGTGCCGCTGATCACGGAAGAGGCGTTTCCTTGGTCCTTGGCCAAATCCCTTCAGCAACCCTCAGGAGTCTTCAAGGGGCCCGGACCACAAATTCCCACATCTACCGGGGTTCATCGCGTGCGCTTCGGGACCCGTCGCGGCTTCCCGCATGACTTTTCCAGACGCAAGAAGGCCCCAACACGAGCCAAGAGGGCCCCAAGAAGCCCCGAAGACGGCCCAAGAGAGCCCCGAATCGCCGAACGATCGCTCCAAGACGCTCCAGATGGCCCCCCAACGCCCCAAGAGGCCTCCAAGACGCCCCAAGAGGCCTCCAAGAGGCCTCCCAAGAGGGCCCCACGAGGTTGACTTCCTTAGGTGATTGACAGATTTTAGCGTTCTCGCCTTTTCTATTTTCCGACGCTCCAAGACGGCCCAAGAAGCCCCCAAGACCTCTCCAACACGGCCCAAGAGGCCTCCCACAGAGCCCCAAGGCGGCGTAAAAGAGCGCCTCAAGACGGCCCAAGAGGCGCACAAGACGGCCCAAGAGGGCCCCATGCCCCAAGAGGCGCTTCAGAGGCCCCCAAGAGGCCCCCGAAGGGCCCCCTAAGAGGCCCAAACGAGACCCCAAAAGGAACCCAAACGGGCCCTAAGAGGCTTCACAACTGCCTCCAAGAGGCCCACGAGAGGCCTCCCACGAGATCCCGACGAACATCCAATAGGCTTCATACCCACAACCCAAGCACGGTGGCGGGAGAGGCCGAATGCTATCAAACACATCTACACATACATATGCACATACCTATACAATGACACATGCATAATCACATGCATGTACACATACGTACACACATACACACATACACATCCTTATACATACGCACATGCAGGCAAACCTGTATTTGCATGTTTGTACTTATGTATGTATGCATGCATGCATGCATGCATGTGCGTATGTATATACATATGCGTATATGTATGTATATATGTATGTATGTACATATATACATATATATCACCCAAACAGTGCTTGCACTGAGGGATTCATGCCTCTCATGATCTTGGAGGAAGGAAACGGGTGTGGCATAAAGGGGTGTGGTGCCAATCATGGAAATGGAGGTGTTATCCACGATAGGTAGCATCGCCAGATTCAACATTGGCACCACACCCCTTTATGCCACGTCCCTTGACGACCTTCAGAACTATGGAGGTGGGCTTATCTGGCGGACTGGCGGCTGTGTAACCGCCGTTGCCGCCCCGTCGCCGCCTCGACGCCGCCCGTCGTCTGGACCTGTCTGGCGGTCTGACGGCTGTGCCGCCGCGTCGCCGCCTCGTCGCAGCCTGTCATCTGAGCCGGTGTGGCGATTTCGCGACTATGTTGTTGCCGTCGCCGCCGCCCGGTCGCCGCCTGGCCGCCGCCCTAGATTGCGCAATGTATATTCTCTTTCCTATTATCCCGGCAAAGCAACCTAACATCGATATGTAGAAGCATAGCTGGAGGCATGCAGCAGTAACAATCAGAGTAGTAGTAGCAATAAGAGCAGGAGAGATGAAACAGTGGTAACAGTGAAGTAGTAGTTGTAGTTGGCGGGAGTGAACGAGTGAAGTGTAGTAGTAGTAGTAGTAGTGGGTGTAGTGGTAACAGTGAAGTGAAGTATAGTTGGAGTGGGTGGATGGCAGTAGTAGTAACAGTGAAGTACGGCGGATGTCTTGGATAGTAGACACTGCTATCAACGCTGCTATCAACGCTGGAAGTGTGTCAAAACGAGACACTGCTATCAATAGTGGGAGTCGTGTAAAAACGAGACACTGCTATCAACGCTGGCAATGAATGATGATGATGAGTGCGATGATGAGTGCGACGATGAGATGATGACTGTCCTTTTTTCAGAGGACCGCGCTGAGGAGCGGCGTGCGAAGCGGAGAAGCTGCAAAGCGTGCAGGCTGAAAAGCATTGCAGACACGCGCAGGCTGAAAAGCATTGCACGACACGTGCAGGCTCACCGCGCACAGCTGCACACGAGCGCAGGCTGAGAAGCACCACGCGCATGCAGGCTGAGAAGCACCACACGAATGCAGACGGACAGACTGAACAGCACCGCCACAACGCAAGCTGCATCTCATGGCTCCTCAAGCTCGCGCAGGCCATCCCAGTTGCTGTCGGGCCTTCGCGCAAGCGATCTTCGTCGCGGCAATCTTGTCCGCGAAGAGCTCGGCGAAGGCCTTGGCGATCTGTTCCGGGGGGCCGGATTCGATGATGCTCCGGTCAGGCAAGCCGTGGCTCAAGAGTTGGTTGAAGCTTCTGGGGCGCGACAGGCTGACGTAGTAGGCAAGCCAAATGGACTCCTTCTTGAGTCCTGGCGGAAACGTCCAGTGCACGATGAAGCCTGGGTCCGTCGTCTTGCCCTGGACGCCATGCAGAGTCCCCTGCTTCTTGGGCAGCACGGTCAACTGCGTCCTGGACACCGCGATGGCCGGGCCACCTGTCTTCGCTTTGAACTTCCAGGGGCGCGCCTGCGGGGTGATCGCGAGCACTCCGCGCAGGTCGGGGCCGGCAGGCTGACAAGCACTGCCAGCTGTCACCGGCGCGGCCTTCAAGAAA